TCCAAACGTTCTGGACTACAACTCCCATTTCATGCTGCTTGGGGCTGATGGGGGTAAATCCAAATCATTTGGAGGACACCACATCAGTGAAGGCTGCACTAGTGCCCGCTCTAATCTTAGCTGCTCAAGCGGGAGCTTTAAGACTATTCTGGCCAGGAGCTACATGGTTATCTCCATCTATTTTCTGTGTTGGGCTTTATGCTTTAGCACACCTGCAGCTCTACACAGCTGATTGCTGCAGTGACCTGAGGAGGCCAAAGGGAAATTCTCCTGTATTTCTAGGCTAATCTGCCACTGGCAAGACTGAGAGGATCTGGTCCATAGATTACTCCTCCCTTACTCTCTCGTGTATTTGCTCACACAACACCCTAACTAGACAGAACAAGGATATAGTGCTTCAGTTCTGAGGATATGAGAGAGCTCTTGCAATGGATATTCTGATTCATGAATGCCGAACTTGTGATTTCAAACTTTGCTGCTCTAGCATTATGCAGTTCATGAAAACAGGCACCTCAGGCAGAGGTTATGTATAAACTGACCCCCAAAACTGCATGGAAAACACAACAGTAGGTTCTTAGTAATAAGGTGGACATCTTATTAATCTCGCTTCAGAAATTATGCCCTCCACGTTCAATGGGGCTTACTCCCAAGTAAGAATGTGTTGGACTGCACCCTAAATGAGTGAAAGCCATAATCCTATAACCACTTACTTGGGGGTAAGTATGTGGATTTACTTTTCTGCATACAAGTACAGGATTTCATTGTAATTTATAATATTCCCTGGATAACCATTAACAGAATCAATCAGCCATATAACCCAGTGCGTCCCTGTCCTGTACTAATAATGTACTAAGGTTTTAAGAAGCCCAAAAAGCAGATTTGCCACCATGAGAGATATACAGTATATAAAACAGCATAAGCTTGCAGTCTGGCTACAGACCTGTCTCTATGCAGTCAATATTCTAATTCCAGTTTGGGAACCCACCCAAAACCTTGACTTTGTAATTCAGTATTCATGAGATGAAACTTCAATCTACAGCCTTCTTGGTATGAATTCTTCCAGTGTGACACACTCTGCAATGACATATTTAATTTTAAAAAATGATTCTAGTTGTCATGGAGTAACCAGTTGGTTTCCCACGCTTTGTCTGTCCAACAGAAACAGATGCCATCGTTGTCGTCGTCGTCATCGTCATCATCATCGAATGGCAAACTACAGGCTTGTTTCAATGTCACACAAAAGCAGCTGGATGAAGCACTCTTGCCCTCCCTTCTCTGGGACACCAAGGCTCATGTGCAACGTTTGTCTGGGATGCAGTGGCCCTGTGCAGCCCCTGTGCCAATGCCAGACTCTCCCTCTCCAATCCTCCAAGTGGCTAAAGGGAAAAACTCAGAAGCAAGGCGCTTGAGCTCCTGCAAGAACTCCCCCTCGATGCGTGGCTCAGCCAATCCAGAAAGAAAAGGGCAGTCTGAGGAGGGGGGATAAGATGTCAGTCTGGCTGTCTTTGGTAGGAGACAATGGGGGGAGCCTCCGCAAAGCGCGGTTTCCTCTCCGGTTACCCCCGAGGAATAACCACATGCCAAGGGGGAAAGGAGGGCAACGGCATCAAACGATTTCCAAACTTAAATAAACAAGGAAGTTATGCGAGGGGCGAATCGCTACAAAGGAACGAGGCGCTCCACGGGAATCTGAAGGGGAGACTCAGCCCGGCTGATGTCCCCCGCACTTCAAAGCATTCCCCCAGCCAGCCACCCACCCCAAGTTTCAGCCGCTCCACAGCAAGTGGGCGGCCCGTTCACCCTCGCCGGCAGGGCGAGCAGAGTCCCCTTCACTGCCAGCAGAAGATGAAAGAGCAGGCAGGGGAGGAGAAGGGGAGAGCGCGGGTGAATGGGGGGCAGCTTGCAAATTGCAAACAGAGAGCCCGGGAAGGGAAGGACGGGGGAGGAACGACGACTGGGAAAGGCATGCGGATGGGGGAAAGGCGACGACGGAATGCCTCCCTCGGAACACCATCGCTCTCGACAGGGGAACTTTCCGGAGCTTTGAACCGGCCCCCTCCCCGCGGAGCAATTAAACCAGCAAGGGGCCCAGGCGCCCTCGGCAGGAGCCGCCGTTGCGCTTTCTGCAGCCGAGACCAGATGCTACGTTTTTAGTGCCCAGATAACACAGTTATTATCTTTACTGTTATTAGTATTATTCTCCTCCCTGGCTGAGCTGGGCAGCACTGTACGTTCGCGCGCGCTTTCGGTAACTGGAGCGTTCCGATCCAAACGCCGCTCGCTCCTGAGCCCCACTTGAATCCACCGCCACTTTGCTCCAGGCGGCTTGTCCTCGGGGATCCCCAGCCTAGCCCAGCGCGGGCGGGCCGGCCCCCAGCTTGCCCGGCAGCGCTTGGAGACGAGGCACGGGGACGTGGGTGGAGCCCGGCCACCGACCCATTCGCGGCTGCAGCACAGCCGAGCGCGGAGCGCCCAAGCCCCTTCGCACGTGCCCGGTGGCACGCTCGAAAGCGGAGCCTTTCACGTGCGGCGAGGGCGCCGCGCGCCTCCAGAGGGAGACGGGTCCCGGGGCGCAGGGGCTCCCCCTCGCAAGCTCGCGCCGCCTGCGACGGGGCTGCGTGCTCACCTCGGAGCTGGCAATCCGCCACGGCGAAGAGCAGCGCGGCCGGCAGCAGCGGCCAGGCGCGGCAGCCCATCTCCGGCGGCGGCGACACAGGTGGAAGGGCGGGCCAACTCCCTCGCAGGCAACGGGCTTTTCTGCTGTCGTCGCTCCGTGCTCCGCGGCAAGAAAGCCGGCCGAGCTCGCCTCCCCGTCCACCCGCTCCCGGCCACCCGCCCTTATCTCTGCCGCCCCCTGCAGCAAGTGAGTCCTGCATCTGAGCGGCGAGGGGCCGGCAGAAACCATTCCCGCAAGGATGGGGTCCTCCCATAGGATGCGGGGCGCTGGGGGCGCAGCGGAGTTCGCCTCCGGAAGCCCCGAAGAGGCGCGGCTGCTCTTGGAGGAGATCTCCAAAGGCACCCGGGGCAGATTTTCGCTCTCGGGGGTCATTCGCGGGCACCACGGTGTCTCAAGCCCCGTGTCGCCCCCCGCCTCATGTGTAGTTCGTTCCGGCAGTAGCTGCGGTAGCCAAAGACGCTGAAATGGGGATGGGAGTTTTGGTTGCAGGGGGGACACATTCTTGAGCCTCCCGGAGCTATTTTGAGCCGCCTCTAAGAAAACAGGAACGACCGCTGCTGGAGAGCCGCTCGCAACGGACTCCGTCGTGAGGCTTGCCCTCGAGGCACGGCATCCTCCGAGCGGCTCACACTTAAGGAGGTGCAGCGTTCTTCTCCATGTGAAATAGCCATCCGGGACACCCTCTGACCTCTCCGAAAGAGGCGAGGTCACCGTTCAGCTGATCTTTCGCATAGCCTGAGGCAGGAATAAGGCCCAAATATGCCTTTATGGTTGCATAAGGTGAACAACAAGAAAGCCCAAGATCACTTTCCATTTCCACCTGACTTAATCTGTGTATCAGAGGTAAAAATTTCTACCCTAGAGCTTGCTGTCAGCTGGAATTTAGACCCAGTACTTGTTTTCCATGCAGGAAGTCGACAACAGACACTGGACATCTCAATATGTACAAAAAGCATTTTCACTACTGTTAATGTATTCATTAAAGAATGCCACTTTTCAATTGCTTATATGCATATATGTGTTTATATGTTTTTATGGAAATGATTTTCATATGTATAATATTGGATTTGTAAGGTTTTTTAAATCTTTGTACACTGTCTGGAGAACTTTGGGTATTGGGCAGTATATAAAAGTAATGTATGACTGAAGATGAGAATCTTTGCAGAAAAGCTTACAGTCATAAAAACAATTCAGACCAGTATATTAAAACAAAATTAATTGAAAATCACAGCATAAAACAATGTGACTCTAACCAGTAAACAGCAATACGAACTGATATTAAAACATCTTTCGATAAACATTTTTATTTACTCATCTGGAATTCAATGGTCAGGACTGGACAGGGGAAAATGTATAGCTTCCAGGTAAGCTAGTGAGACCCAGTATCTCTTCTTTAGGCCCTGTCCATTCCCACAGTCAAATCTATGGACTGGCAGGCTTTGAGGGGACCTGAGGTAGTTAAGAACATAAGAAAAGTCATGCTGGATCAGGCCAATGCTCCAGTACCCCAGCACTTCATTCACACAGCAGGAGGTCAGCTGTCCACAGGATCCCTCAAACATCCCTCAGTGCAAGACGTTTGCCTGCCCAAGCTCCCCAGCAACTGGTGTAGGTGGGCCTGCTGGCTTTATTAATGGAATCAGCCCATAGCCATTGGTAGCCTCCTCCTCTGTGAAGTTGACCAATACCCTTTTAAAGCCACCCAAATTGATGCCATCAATACTTCCTGTTTCAGTGAATTCCATAGTTTAATTCTATGAATTAAAGTTTAATTCTTTAATTCATGTGTTTCATTAAATCCTCCTCACATTGTTGTATTGTAGGTGGCCTTTATCTTTCCAGTCTTGCAATATCAATTTTTTAACTCTCAAGGGGCATAGAAAATCCATTTATGTTGACCTTGCATTAAATTTCAAGAGATGGGTAGGTAATTAAAAAAATATGTATCCTTGAATATTAAAGATTTATCACAATTAGAAACTCCTTCCAATAAAGAAGTTGCTATTGAGCATTGCTAAAGCATGTGAAGAAAAGCATTAGCAGCATTGCACCTCTATGCACATTGCAACATTGAGAGTTGGCCAGCTTAATGTAACACTTATCAAAAAATGTTATGGTATTCAGTATACTCAAAACATCAATTTTTGCTGAATTAAGCATCACCTAAGATCCATTACCACCAGTGAAACAGATAATAATGTAACACTCCAGTGAATGGTCAAGATGGGGGTACCCCAGTTCATTATTCCATTTTTGGTCAAGACTCTGTGGTTCATATTCATTCACAATTATAAATGTTTAAATACATGAATTGTACACCAACGTAATTGTTTGGCCTCAATCTGTACTTCGAATAACACAGCCAGTGGTGAATCTGTAAAAGCAACAGGATTAAGAAACATTTCAACTACATCTATTGCCTTGCAGCCATAACTGCTAACTTATAGTTTGCACACAAAGCATACAGTGACAGAAATGTTTTCACCAGGACCAACAAGCTGATTCAAAGTGAAAATCAGCCTGTCTGTTCCAATCTCCAAATATTTTCTCACCAATTTTTTAAATCTGGATTTTCCTATGAGTTTATTTTGTGTGTGAAAATATGTCAAACAGCAATTTACAGTGGTACCTTGGCTCACGAACTTAATCCATTCCAGGACTCCGGTCGTGACTCAAATTGGTTGTGAGCCAAGTCAAATTTCCCCATAAGGTTCAATGTAAATAAGTTAATCCATTCTGTAACTATTTTTTTTTTAATCAGAAAAATGTGAAGCAAAGTGACAAGAACCACAAAGATCGCAGCCATCTTCCTCCCCACCCCAGCATGACACCCCCCCAGTACAACCATGATCATGTCCATCATCCCTGTATGCACCCGTCATCCCGGCATGCTGGGGGGGTAGAGACGGGCACGAACAGGGCGTGCTGGGGGAGGGAGAGACGGGCATGAACATGGGCACGTTGGGGAGGGGAGATGGCTGAGATTGTGGTTGCGCTACTGTAGGAAAGTTGGGCACAATCATGGGCACGCTACTATAGGAAAGACGGGCGCGATTGCCGCCATCTCACTCGTGGGGGGGGGGGGAGAGATGGCAGTGATTGTGGTCGCCACCCAATGTGGAGGTTGTGACTTGAGTGAAATTTTTTATGAAATTTTGTTCACAACCCGATTTGGTTGTGAACTGAGACGTTCGTGAGCCGAGGTACCACTGTACATTGAAGTATACTCCACAACTCTAGCTGCAACAACTGGAGGAGTCACATTAACTATTTTGGTGCAATGCAGTCTTGGAAAAAGGATCCAAAAATGAAGATTCTGGAATAGTAGAATTTTCTAGAAACTAGTCTAAGTGGAAAAGACCAAAATCTAATGCATGTCTACAAACAGATATGGTATTCGGAAAGCTCAGGGAGTCCAAACAATTTATTCAATAAAATTTGAATCACTTCAAAGAATACTTGTGATGGAGCTGAACCCCACTTTAAAAAATTACAAAACAAACTTTCAGAAATATATAAATAAATCCACAAAAGTGGCTTTCTCAAAAGTAATTAAACAAAATAGAAGGATGAGTTAAACAAACCTACCATAAATCCATTGAAAACAAAAGAGAATTGAACTGGTGAACAGAGGCTAGTGAATATATAAGTATGCCAATTGTTTAAAAATATTTGTCCAGATACATATTCCCCTTAAAGATTTTGCCAGTATATGCAATATGGCCAGCCATGTATACATGAAGATGTGTAAACATAATAAAACCTTATAATCAATATCTATGAATTTCACAACCAATAAGAGCATATAATCCTTATCCTATGATTTAAAGCAGGGGTCCTCAAACTTTTTGAATAGGGGGCCAGTTGAAAGGTCCCCGTGATCGGTGCAGGCCGCCAAGGTGGTGCGGGTTGGGGGTGCGGGTGCGTGCGCATGCGCATGCGCAGAAAGGCAGGGGCATGCCTGCGCAGAGATCCTTTTCTCCCAATGAGTCCAAAACAATCTCCCTGCAAGCAAGCTGGCACCTCAAGGCCAGCTTGCTCACAAGATCATTTTGGACTCTCTTGGAGAAAAGGATCTCCCAGCAAGGCACCGGCTTACTCACAAGGAGATCCTTTTCTCCAAGCGAGTCCAAAATGATCTCTTTGTGAGTAATCCGGCACCTTGCCGCGCATGTGTGGCGAGCTATGGCGGGCCGGACGAATTGGCATGGCGGGCCGGATCCAGTCCGCTGGCTGTAGTTTGAGGACCCATGATTTAAAGCATACTTAAGCATATTACTCAGTATCCATATGTGTCAGAAGACTGCTCCTTACTCATTCCAGCAGTTTCTTAAATTTCAATCCTGCCATGAAAGAGCAAAGCAAAACATCTGTAGCAGGAAAAAATCCACACATTTGCAGTTATAGCAAAGAATCCTCTCTACAGAGACATTAAGCCCTGATCTGGCAAGGAGGAAGCTGCCCAGGAGGTGGGGGACAAAAGGCAAAGATTTGGAAATGAAACCTGAGAATGCACAAGTCCTTGGAAGGCAGTCATAAGTTTATCTTGAAGACTGCAAATTCTACTTGGTATCCTTTTTATTCCTCTTTCAGATTTATGTGTATTTATTTTACATAGTTTGAAACTGCTCCTTCATCAACAAAGATGCCAAGTGCCAACAAAGATGACATATTATAAAAACAGTTGTCATTACCTTATAAATTACCTTAAGCAAACGTTAGTTTTCCATAGGAGTATGCCTAACGGTACAATCCTATTCAAATTTTAGACATCAAAAAGCTTAGAGGTGATACAGTATTGCATGGACCGTTATTTTTCTAAAATTTTTCATGAAGTTATCCTAATAACCGAAAGAACAGGAAAAGGTTGAGTTGGTTAGGTTCAAGTGTTGGGGGAGGAGCAGAGGGAGGAGGAGCAGAATGAACACAGAGAGGGGCCCCACTTTTAACATCTTTAGGATCTTAAAGGAGTGCAGTGCGTATTCTTGCAAAATGCCTCGCAAAGAGGGCTTGCCTGTTTGCAAAATAGCTGCCCCCATGTGGCTTGACCAGTCACAAAATACCCATTTTCCAAAGGTAAACCAGCAATCCAATGCATAAAAGCACAGTCATTATCCAGGTGGGTGGGTGCCACTCCTGCAGGAAATCTAGCACGCTTTGCCCCGCTAGACTGCTTTATCTGTAAGATAAAAGTATCAGCCACAGCCGCAGTCAGCACTCCTTCTGCTTGCAGCGGCAGCTGCTCTACTCCTGCACTGCCAAAGGGGGAACGATTTGGTCTTGCTGTGTCAGTTTGCGAATTAACCATAGTGCACACGCACAATGCCTTTCTCCAGCAAAAGGTATGGGGAAAGGCTTCCATGTGGGTGAGCTCCTCCAAAGCAGTTTTTCCCCCTTTTCTTTTTTCTTAATTTTTTTATTTAATATGTCCGTTGTTGTTACATGCTGTCAAGTCATTTCTGATTCGGTGACCTATGAATCAACACTCTCCAAATTGTCCTGTCCATGACAACAACTCCATTCAGCTTTTTCAAGTTCAAAGCTTGATGGATTCCATCCATCTCATATTTGGTCTTCCCTTTCATCTTCTGCTTTTGACTTTACTTAGCATGATGGTCTTCTCCAGTGAGTCTTGCCTTCTTATGATGTGTCTGAAGTATGGCAGACTCAGTTTCATTATTTTTGCTTCTAGTGAAAGATCAAGCTTAATTTGATCTAGGACTATTTGTATTTCTGTTTCAGTCATAGGGTATTCACAAACCTCTCCTCCAACACATCCATCCATCCTGTTTTCTTCACTGTCCAGCTTTCACACCCATACACATTGACTGGAAATACAATAGTTTGAATGTTCTTGGCCTTGGTCTCCAATGGAACATTCTTAGCACTTGATGATGTTTTTAGTACTTCCTTCATTGTTTAAATAAAATTCTATGTTTCTTCTGTGGACATGATTTTTGTTTGCTTCATACTCAACTGAAGTCCTGCTTTTGTAATTTCTTCTTTCGCTTCTGTCAGGAGTCATTCCAAGTCATTGCTGCTTTCTGACACTAGCCTGGTATCATCTGCGTTTCTTCTGCCAATTCTCACTCCTTCCTCCGATTCTTATGTGTACTTGCAGCCAGTTAAAGAAGAGCCTTATCCTGACTTTGTCCAGGTTTGCTAGGGATACTCAGTCACGATTGGCTGACTCACCTGGCCACTTGGAGACCTTGAAAGCACACCCAGTGGCTGGCCTCAGAACAGCCTAACCAGGCACCGTACTATCAGGCAATCAAGAGGCATATTTGTTTTGATTCCAGCCCTGGGGCTATGCTAAAGAAGCCGTTCTTTCCCAGCGGCAGGAACGACTTTTCATACCTGAAAGTTCTGTCTCCATTTATTATAGGCATATGGGATGTTCTTTTGTTGATGGTGCATTTAATTTGTTTGTTCCTGCAGCTGTTGCTGCATCGCCGTGTGCGTGCACAGAGAAAGAGATGCCAAATGGGGAACCTATTTATTTCCTCTCTCTGGGTATGTGCTGATTGATTTTACCAGTAAAAAAAAAAAAAAAAGTTAAATCTTCATTGCTATGCATATATTTCTGAAATTGATTCCTACATGTGTGTGATGTCAGGACAAAATAAGAGAATGCTTTTCCCATGTGGGACTATTGGGTGCAGTATATAAATTCATAAACAAATAAATATGGCTGCTAGGGGCTTGACACTTTAGACTTAAGATGGGATTCCTGATCTGATCAAGTCTTGCTTCCCAGGTACGCCTTAGAAATGCTAATGGTCCATCCTGTGGAGGTAAACGGTATGCTAATCGTTTACCTGTCCTGAAGGTTCTTCTCTTTGTATTGTGTTCAAATCATTCCCCACCATCCCCAAAATGTGTATGTAACTGATACATTATAAAAGCATCTTGTACAAAATCCATCTTGGTAGTCCGCACGTATTTCCGGTATGTCTGAACAAACTGTAAATGTTCTTTTGATTGCACACCTCCAGTACTCTCAAAGGGCCATTTTTTACTCTTGTCAGTGATTAGTTCATTTCCCTTTTGGGCAGGCCTTTACCTTTGCAAAAATTCATTTTAAAAAATCAGTAGACTTGTTTGCACCATCACTGGTGCTGCTGCGGCTGATTAAGTTCCAGTGAATTGCTGTACAGGCACGCATCCGTTCTGAATCAAGGGGGAGTCGGGTGTGGCCATGTTTTGTCAGGTCATTTGAATCTTGACAGCCGGTCCAGCACATGGTCCATTACAGGTTCTTTGCAGATGGGTTAACCTACAAACAGCCCCTCCTGCCCAGGGTTCGGCAAGCAATCCAAATCTCCCAACAGGACCCGGATATTCAGAATGTCTCCCTGCTGGCACTGCAGTCTACCCTGGCTTCAGAAAGCCTGCAGGGATCATTGGAACAGGCCCATAATACAGAAATTGCATTTGTACAGAGAAAGGGATTCCTCACACCCCAGAATTGTGCTTATCACACATACCGGGAGACATGAATCTCACAGACAGATAGAAAAATTGATTAAAAATAATTTTTACTGATCTAAAAGATCAAGATACACCCACAGGAAGGAAATGAATTTATTTCTCCCATTCACTCACACACACATAAATGACTCCCCTCACCACTCATATGCACAGAAATTAATTTAAATCAAACAGCTGTGTAAACCACAGTGGGCTGCAGTGATCATGATAATTGGCCCATTGTTTGAGTGAGTGTGTGTGAGAGAGAGAGAGAGCAAGCAAGCAAGCAAATAAGCATTTTCATTTTGGGTGGGCCTTAATCTTTTCCCCCAAGAAAAACCCTTTTTTAAAAAAACTCCTTTTTTCTATGCACCCCAGTTAATTTTTTTTTAATTATTTCCCTATCTGG